AGAGAGAGAGAGAGAGCACATGAGCAGGGGAAAGGGGCAGAGGGAGAGTGAGAATCCCAAGCAGGCTCTGTGCTCAGCATGGAGCCCCATGTGGGACTCGGTTCCATGACCCTGGGATCATGACCTAAGTCAAATCAAGAGTCGGATGCTCAAACGACTGAGCCATCCAGGTGCCCCTTTTATCATCCCCATTTAGACTGAGGGTCCTGGTAGGTTACAGGCCTTGCACAGATTGCCTACCAGCCAAGGGCTGTACTGGCACAAGACACTAGTTTGAAGAAGAGGGCTTTCATCAGATTCTTGACCTACTGAGCTGCCATTTATTTAACATCAACCATGTGCCCTGTGCTGTTCTAGGTACTTTACCTATTACCTCTCCTCTGATCCCCAACATTACCCCCATTTGTAGGTGAGGTGCTTGCAGTACTGTGCCCACGGTCATGCAGTGCTAAGTGAAGTAAATTCACACCCAGGTCTCGAGGGATTCCCACAGCTTGCTTCCCAGGGTTCTCGCCCTGCTGGATGGAGCCAGAGGGTGAGGAGGGCATTCTGCTCAGGTTCAGTGGCCAGCCTTGTGAGTGGCCCACTGATGTCAGTGACTCTCTGCTGCCCTCATGTGGCCACTACAGGCCCCCGGCACCATCCCTTCCAGCTCCTCCCCACCTCATCCAGGCCAGTCTGCTGTCTGTCTCATAGCCCCTTGGACAGCTAGAACCTTCAGGAGGCTTATATGAAGAGAGTTAATGGGCATCCTGTCTTCCTCAGGGCATTGGAAGCTAGATGTGATAGACAGACATCACGGAGGGTTGCAAGGCTGGGCCCAGGGGAAGCTTTTGGGTTATTTGGGCTTGAGCCCCAAGGCTGAGATCCTAAGTTAAGGCAGGGCCTGCCATGCTTCTTTCTCCTCCCCTTACCCCCCAGGATCGCTGGTTCTGGCGCCTGCGCAATAACCGGGTACAAGAGGGCTACCCCATGCAGATTGAGCAGTTCTGGAAGGGCCTGCCTGCCCGCATAGATGCAGCCTATGAAAGGGCTGATGGAAGATTTGTCTTCTTCAAAGGTAATATAGCCTGTGCTAAGAGAACTGTGACAGTTCCCTGCCCTTTCTGGGACCCCCTTTCCCCATCTGTACACTGGAAGAGGCGGGGTGAGAAGCAGATGCCCTCCAAGAGCCCCTCTAGCCCTAACAGAGACACTGACTTCTGACAGGACTAATCCCTGCAGGCAGACCAAGCACAGTCCAGGGGAATCAAGTCATGAAGTAATTGTTGAGGGTCTGTATGTTCCCAGGTTGGTGGGACGACAAGGCTCACCCACGTCCAGGTACAGTGCTCCATGGAAGGCCATCCCATCAGTTCTGTAAGAGTTGGTTGGGAGGAGGTCACACTGGCTGGAGAGGTCAGGGAAGGAGCCAGGGGAGCTAGCATGTATGGCATGCCCACCCAGGGCTGGGTTGCTTCGCTTCAATTATCTTGAGATGGGCCCAGCCTCAGAAGGGTAAGATACAGATAATTAGTGAGAAGTGAGGAAGGCAGTCCAAGAGGAAGGGACAGCATGGGTAATAGAGTAGTGTGGGGATATGCATGTACGTTGGAAAAGCTTAGAAGACCCACTGGACAGCCATGGAGGCCCACCTTGGAGAGCGGTGAGCAGTGGCCTAGAAGGGAGAGTGAGGGAGAGTCCTAAGGAGCCTTGGTTGCCAGGCCAGAATGCAGTCTTGACCCATTAGAGAAACACTGGTGTCCACTGGGTGCTTGTGAGCAGCAGAGAGCCAGAGGGCAGGCAGCAATCCAATAGAGCAGAGGTGGGGAGGCCATTTCGGAGTCGGTTGCTGGAGGGGAGGGAGCTAGTCAACAAGGCCCACACCAGGGAGGACCAGTGAGGCCAGAGATGGACAGCTAAAAGATGCAAAAGGCTTCCTGAGAGGCTGAACATGGAGGGGAGAAGGAAAGAGAGGGTCAAAAGTGATGCCAGGTTTCTTGCTGGGGAACCGGGGGGCAGAAAGGTGAGGAGGGAGGGAGCACACTGTGGAGGTAGTGACGAATTCCAGAAAGCAGACCTGGAAATGCCCAGAGGCTGGTGTACACTGGGTCAGGGCTCCTGGGTCTGGGGCTCAGGTCCAGTGGGAGTGGCTGTGAGCCCTCAGAGTTGGGTGTCACTGGTGGAAGGTGGGGAGTACTAAGGCATGCAAAGCCACAGGAGTGGCTGAGGATGCCTGAGAGAGAGTTAAGGAGCAATTCACATGAACGAACAGAGGGTGCGGCATGGAGGCTGGGCAGCATGGGGCCGGTTGCCCAAGATCTGCAGTGACTGGCTTCTGGCTTCTTGCCCCCATGCTCTGCCAGGGCCAAGGAGCCTCAGTCTCCCAGAGAGGCTGTCAATCAGGCCTTGCACTGTTTCCCCCGACACTGTGGCTCTGTGAATGACTTCAGTCCTAGCAAAAGATGGACAAGTGGCACCAGCCACAACCTCTGGCATTGAGTGACTGGGAAAGGCTGATCCTGGGTTTCTCTTGGCTACAGGTGACAAGTACTGGGTATTTAAGGAGGTGACGGTGGAGCCTGGGTACCCCCACAGCCTGGGGGAGCTGGGGAGCTGTCTGCCCCGAGAAGGCATTGACACAGCTCTGCGCTGGGAACCTGTGGGCAAGACCTACTTTTTCAAAGGCGAACGGTACTGGCGCTACAGCGAGGAGCGGCGGGCCACGGACCCTGGCTACCCCAAGCCCATCACTGTGTGGAAGGGCATCCCACAGGCTCCCCAGGGGGCCTTCATCAGCAAGGAAGGATGTACGTAAGGGCCTGGCTGGGTGGGGAGTAGCCCGATTTTATGTAGGTCCCATCAGGGCCCATGGGCATACTCTCAGGGTATCCAAGTTTGAGAAACGGTGTCTAATGGTAAGGACAACTGCCTCACATCTACCCATGTTCACACAGTAAATTAATTCTCTTACCAGCTACCAAGCCAGGCTCTCATCTGCAGAGATGACTCACATTTGAGAGATGTTTTCATAGACTGACTTCACTCTTTCAGACAGCATTTCTCAAATAGTGGACCTCAGATGTACTCTAGGGCTTCCTCGAGTTATCAAATCTGAAAAGCAATGATGGATACAGGTGCTTTCAAAGGTTTTTGGTTTTTTTTGTTTTTTTTTTGTTTTTTTTTAAACAAGGCTTGAGGGCAGGAAGATGGAAAGAGAAGCCTTTTTTATTTATGAGACATTTTCTAAGCTCCTCCTGGAGGCCAGGCTGGGAGCTTCCCAGCAGACTAGAAGCTTCTCAAGAAGAGGGGCTGGGTGTTGCCAGGTGCAGGAATCCATGAATGTTTGTTAAATACATTTCCCATGATCTGGTCAAAAATACAGACTCTGGAGGCTGGCTGACTTCACATCCCGCCTCCACCACTTACTATGAGTTTGAGCAAACCATTTAAGTTTTCTATGTCTTCATCTATCAGATGGGGATAATAATGGTACCTACCTCATTGGGATTTGTAAGAATAAGGTAAGTTAAGTAGAGCACTTAGATCAATGCCTAGCACATGATCCATGCCATGTGAGACTTAGCTGCTATCATCATCATCATCATCTTGTTGGTGTGTTTTAGTTTTTGTAGAATGACAGGTGTCATCCATTCCCTCCACAATGATTACTGAGAGCCAAGTTTTGTGGGAGAGCTGGGGAAGGAGCAGAGAATAAGACTTGCATTGCATCCCTGGCTCCCATTCTAGAGGCAGAAAACAACTAAGGTGGCAGCAAATGCTCTAAGGGAAAGAAATGCAGCCGAAGAGCTATGGTGGGGGGGGGGGG